AATATTTTTCTGTTTAATTTATCAACAATATACCTTACGATTTATAAGTAACAAAAAAAATTAGGCATTTTATATGAAAATAATTCATACAGTTTGTTATATACTATTGAAAATGGAACTGTAAAAAAAACTGTAAAAGTCATCATATGTGATAGAGATTGCTGCGGGAACTTTCCATGCAGAACATATAGGTTATGAGCGTGTTCTTTGGTAGACATAAGATGATACCTATTAACTGCTTCTATAATTTTTTTTAACTAGCTATTCACTGCGTTTTAGAGTAAAGCAGAAGATTTCAAAATTTGATCACCCAGTTTGTTTTTATAAAGCCTTTTAGGTAGCGGTATTCCTTTAGCTTGTTTATCTTTAAAGTTGTTAAACCTATAGAATTTTACTGAACTTCTACTGACTGGCAGTTTAAAAGAAGATTTATTCTTGACTTCATTAAAGAAAAGCGAGAGAAAAAAAAAGAAATCTTGAATAGCTTTCTTGATAGCTTGAGTAACGATTAAAAATAAATAAAAAAGAAATTAAGATATTTTGAAGCAATCTGTCTTTTTGATTACTTAAAACGTTTTGTTTAGAAAGAGACTTCAGATAAAACTTTTTTTTTTTTGAAGTTTTACTTATTTAAAACGTTTTTTTTAGAAAATGACTTCAGATAAAACTTATTTTTTCTAAAACGCAACGATTAAAAATCAAGTTTATCCAATCAAAATTTGAATAGCATTAAGTTGAAAGAAAAGTTGCGTAACTTTATACGCAAAGAAACTTTTGCAAAGACTTATATTTTTTATATCTTTAAATTTTTAAAATAGAAATAGAAGATCAACCATAAAAAATTAGCAAAAACTGAATTGTTTTTTGAACAAAAGATAACTAATAAATTAATTGGAAAATGAAAATAAAAATTTTGGTAATCTTACAATTTATCTCTTCACTCATTTTATCTAAAAAATGTAAAATTTAATAAAAATAAAAAGTTTACAAAAAAGTTTTATTTTTTTAAAGTTAAAGAATTTTAATTATGTTGCAGCCCCCTATCGCCCGCAAATGATTTCAGATTAAGGAAAATAGGTACCAAAAGTGCGCCCCAAAATAGACTGCCTGCGCCCCATTTTTTTTCAACGAAATTTGGCAGACAAATAAAAAATATGTAAACTTAAATGGCTGCAAAAGATAGTCAATTGCGGTCCAAATCTTTAATATTTGCTGGATGCACAAAGTACAACAAAGTTTTCTATGTCAATAAATCAACTTATAAAGTACGTAATAGTAATCAAAAGACACATATTAATAAAGTATAATCATTCCAGTTTTTAAAAAATATCTATGTTAATATGAAATTCTAAAACACAAGGCAACAGAACACTTCACAACCTATTTTTCCAAATGCGAACTTTAAAAAGCGTGGCACAGAATTTTAGCACATTTATCGGTTCCGTAAAACGCTTATCGGCGTACCTAGCTTAGGACACCTGAAATACATAGTAATGGTATATGTTGTATATTTGCTAAGCTTTACAGACATAAGACTTATAAACTGGATTAATAATAATTCTACAAGTAGATTAAAACTCATGTTTTTAAATACAAAAATGCAGCTAAAAATTATTAATTTCTGGCGTGTGTAATTAAATTAAATTCACCAGAAATTGATAACTTTTGGTGCTACTTCATGTGATATTATGTTGTTGCAATATTGTGTTATTATATTTATATTATGTATATTATGTTTCTTTATATTTTAGATAATATAATAAAAACCTTACCAATAACTTACTTGTATTAGTCTTTATCGGATCTACAACATTTCACATATCCAGAGATTTTATATATACACATATAAATGTGTATATACACATATATATGTGTATATTATACTTTATAATTATTTGTCTTATTTGATAAATTATTAAATGATTTTTCACACATACCATTAACAGTTATTCCATTTTGTTATTGTATAATAATATAATATAATGTATAATAAAAACTGATTTATTGAAATTTCTTAAAAAATATTTTTGAGTCATATTGAGTTATTGTATGATTTTTTAATTGGTTCTTTAATTTTTTTGGCAAGAAAAATTTTACATCAAATCAGAGTAGTATTTACAAAAAATTATAAACAAAAAGTTTGTCTTTTTTATAAAATATAGATAAAATTTTGTATGGATTGATGAGCATAATTTCTTGAAATTGTTGAAATATTAATACTGATATTATTAATCGCAAAAGGTAATTGCCGGCAGTGCCGGCAAATAATCCTGAGATTAATTGCCTGCAGTATAATTTAAAATATATAAAAATAAACAGTACTAATTCTTATTAGTATTACCCATCATAAGTGTTTGTTAATTTTTGTTTATTGATAATTTCCATTTATTAGATTTAAGTTTATTAGGTGCCTTAAAGTGTACATACAACAACTAATAGAGCCGTACGCGAAACAGTGTATGATTACGACTGATTTAGGTATAAGCGCGGCAAAGTCTAAATTTAAAGACTGACTTGAAAAGGGATAAGCAAAGTAAAATATACATACCACCGGCTGACTTTGATAGGGTTAGACCTGTACATAGATTGATAGATTGACTATCAATCTATGTACAGGTTTTGGTTTAGGGTTTTGGTTTGAGCAGGCATATATAATTAACAAAAAAAAGTTATCATTTTTTTAATACTGGCGTAAAAAAAGTTATAAAAGTAAATTAAATAAATAAATTTATAATAAAATAAATAAATACATAATTTAAATTGTTTTTCTAGCAACAATACTAAAAAAACTAACCAAATCACTGTATTTAATACATTCAAATTATTTCTTTACACGTGCTGCCGGCAATTAATCTCAAAATTATTTGCCGGCACTACCGGCAATTACCGCTAGTCATTATTAATAATAATAGCCTAAAATTATATAAAAATTAAAAACATAAAATTACATTTTGTGACCCACTATTATAAATATTTATTTCAAAATACTTCATGGTTATAGATCGGAAAAGCATAGAGACAATTGATCTTAATAGGAAACTAGATAAAGGCAAATTATGGAAATAATAAAAACATTACATTATTTTAAATTTGCAATTAATAGTTTGAGGGTTTGGTACAATCACTATTTTTTAAAAAAAGAAACATTAAAAAAAGGGATTTTTTGTTATCAAATTTTATAACTTTAAACATAATAGGGGACACTGACTACACTTTTATTTGGGATACTTGATCAGGGTCTAGTCTCTCAAGAACATACATTCTTTCAGAATGTATGTTCTTGTCTTTCAGAATTTAATATGATCAGAATATAAGACAAGAGAAAGTGCTTAAAAAATACTGATAGATAAAGAAATTAGCTATAAACAATGTTTTAGAAGGTAAAAGTATTCATGGAATTGCTAAAACTGGTAAAATGTGACTATACCAAACAAGGTATGGCATTAAAATTGTCAAAAAAAACTAATGATAGATTATTCAGTGCAGTTGTGGTATAAATCCAAATGACTTAATGGTTAGAGACCATTAAGTTAATATTTATCAAGTTAATATTTATATAAAAATATTTAAAGACCATCAAGTTAATATTTATATAAAAATATTTATAAAATACAAAGTAAAATCACTTAAATTCCAAGTTTATTGGAATTATTTTTTTTGTGTAATTTGGTTTTCCAGATAGAAATTAGAGGTTAAAAAGAAAAAAAAAATAATCAAATTTCCTTAGTTTCTCTCATGTTTTTCCATTATGCCTTTAAAGTAAGCATAAGTGATATGATTATAATAAAAGTAAGCATAAGTGATATGGGTATAATAAAGTATACATAAGTGATAAATCTGTTTTTAACTACATGATTTGTAATGTGTATAATTTGATAAAAGTGAATGATTTACAAAACTTAAATGGTCAATATATCAAGTTCTTTAAATAATTTAAACCATCCAGTTTTAATGCTTATTTTAAATGAATAGTTTAAATTTTGAAGTTGTAGGTTGATTAGTAAACAATGTTAAATGGCTTTCTTAATAATATATATAATCTAAAACATTTATTATTAAATGTGTCTGCTATGATAAAAATAAACTAAAAAGACATGTGGCTAAATTGAAACTTGACTTGGTCAGAGGAGAGTGTGTACTAAGTTTAAGGTCTTATTGAAAAGAGTATTTGTTAAATGTACATAATAAACATTGTTGACTTTATTATTTTAAAAAAGATTTTAAGTAATCTTTCCTGTTATTAACTTTTTCCTTTTTTTTTTAAATGTATTTTAAACGACAATTTTTTTACCATTTGTTTCTTTTTTAAATGTATTACCATTTTGTTATTTTTAAAAAACGATACCATTTTGTTATTTTTAAAATGTATTTAAAACAACAATTTTTTTACCATTTATATATTTTGTTATTTTCTCATAACTGGGGATTGTGTAAAGATTATAGATTGTGTAAACATAACAAAATAATATATAATATATAATAAAACATAACAAAAACATTGATTGGGAGCTTTAACTAAAATTTTAAAAAGTTTTTTAATTGTTTTTTTATGGTAATTTTGTAAACTATGAACAAAAATTCAATAAAAATACTTATAAACACAACAGAATAGTTAAGTTATGAAATGTTATTTAGAAGCACATTTAATATAGTTATAATTGAATGTTTATAAACAATGTTATGATACAGTATTTATAAACACAATTTTAACAAAAACCTTCAACTAAACTTAAAGATTTAGTCTGATTTTTTAAAAAGAAATACGCTTAGATGTATCTGTAGCTTAATTTAATGCATGATATTCAGTAAAATTTGATTGATTTTAGTATAATATATATATATATATATATATATATATATATATATATATATATATATATATATATATATATATATATATATATATATATGTATATATATGAATATATATATATATATGTATATATATATATATATATATATATATATATATTATATATATATATATATATATATATATATATATATATATAAACAAACAAAAAAGAAATGAGTTTTCATAAACTTGATGATTGTATACAAAAGCTTCAAGATTTCAATTCTCAAATTCAAGATGGTATTGAAATAAGCTACAAGGTTGCCTATGATTGTGAAGAAAATGAATCAGGAACAGAGATTGTGGATAAGTTGCATGAAGTTATGATTCAATATGCAAAATTAAAGCGCGACCTTAAACAATGTTGTGAGGCAGCAAATGATTCCAAAAATCAGTTTCAGAGTGTTTTAAGCAGAAATAATGGAAGGTACAAAGTTTTTATGTAATAATCGAATGTACAAAGTTTACATGTAATGTTGAACTAAATAAATATGAAATATTATTTTTTACTAATTTAAAATCAAAACACAGTTAATTACAGTTAATAACAAAAAGATTTTTTATCTTTATGTTTAAAATTGTTTATATTATTTATGTGAAATTTTAATTGATTTTAAAGTTATGTATTATATGCAAATATATAAAATTTTGCTTAAAATTACTAAATTATTAAAAAAAAAAAAAAAGAAAGTTAATAAAAGTAAAAAGTGAAAAAAATAATTTTAAATGCTAAAAAAAGACTTTTTTAAAAAAAATATAAAAAATAATATATAAATAATATAAAATATACAAATAATATATAAGGTTTTTATAAAATAAAACTTTATGTATCAGTAGAATTATAACAATAAAGTAATTTGAATAATTTAATCTGAATTTAGTGACTAGTCCAATAAAGTTTAACTGGTTCCAGTATCACTACAGAAGCACTTGTATCAACCCTTTATACATAAACCTAATAAGTAAATAATGTTACATAACGTTGCTTTATTAAAGTATAGTTAAAAGTAGGAAGTTGGTAGAAATATGTAAATTTGATTCAAAAATTTCTTCATTTTGTTTATAATTTTATAATTTTTGTTTTATAATTTTGCATACATAAGTAATTTTTTCATAAAATATTGAGTAAACCAACCCAATAGAAAACTTTTATCTCTGAATTTTCAAATAAAACATTACTATATATCTTCACAGAACTTTACAGTATAACTTTATTGTTTAACTACACAGAATTAACCTCTTTTAACTACTCTATGTCAGGTCAGGTTCAGGATCATCACAATCACCCTGCTAATGATAATTTGTACTACCTGTCCCATGTCCACCCAGTAGTAGTAGCAGTAGTATTAACAGTAGTAGTAGTAGTAGTAGTAGTAGTAGTAGTAGTAGTAGTAGTAGTAGTAGTAGTAGTAGTAGTAGTAGTAGTAGTAGTAGTAGTAGTAGTAGTAGTAGTAGTAGTAGTAGTAGTATAAACTTAAGTAAGGTAAGCAGAATAATTCTGTTGACCAGCCTTGTACCCTTTCTTCATCTATTAGGCTGGTATAAATGTAAACTTGTGCTAAATTATTTCCTGCCTTTTTTTAATGCTAGATCTTCTTAAGTTTTCACTTGTTTTTTGATTGTTTGATTTTAAGGTTTTTGCTTGTGCCTCTTTGATAGTGGCTATGCAACTTTTCCTGTTATCTCATAGTGAAGGTACAGGGTAAAACTCAGTTTAATGGTTCTGAGGCTGGCTGGTAGTAAAGTTTCCCAAACTTTGTGGAATCTCTCAGAGAGGCTGATTCCATCAACAGCTGTAAAATATCAGAGTATTAACAGTGCCATTTGGTGTGTATTGTTGAGACCACATAAAGAAAGTTATGATTTGAGGTAAATTAGCAGGACTCAGACAACTGCATACCTCATTTCTTGGGATGTTTTGCTTTAACTATAATTAAATCAAGTTCTCTTTTAATTTAAACCATGCCCAAAATAACTAAAAATGTAAAGGTAAAAAACCAATAACACCACCTAACTATTTAAAAAAAATCTTTTACAAATATTTGTAATCTTCAAAATAACTTTCTGTCAGTTAAATTTATTCAGTTACAAAATTCATAAGACTTGATTGCACTTCGGAGAATAATTTGAATTCTGCTATTTCTTCTTTTGATGTATGGCTACTACATTTTGACTGACATTCTAAAGCTTTCAATAAAGTTTTAGCTTTTTTGCTTTCTCCATAAGTTTGCATCTTATGGTGTGTTGTATGGTGTATTCTTTTGTGAAAATTTTAGAGATTATCTTATCATTTCATTCAACAATATTATTTTTCCAGATAGTAAAGTGGCAAAAGGATTAACATTTGGAAGAACAAAAATAGGATATATGATTAACTATGGGTTAGCGCCATATTTTAAATGAAAATTAAAAATTTGCCATGTTATGTTGTCTCATTTGATCAAAGTCTGAACAAAGTTACACAAAAATGTCCAATGGATATTGTTGTTAGATTTTGGAATACTCAAGAAAACCAGGTTAATGTGCCATACTTGAATTCTTTTTTTCTTGGCCATTCTTCTGCAGCGCATATTCTAACAAATTTCAATAAAGAAATAAAATAATGGATGGGCCTAAATCCAAATTGGAAATTTTTTAAAGAACTTTCTATATACCAAAATGAGTGTAAATTAAATTCTTTACTTGGCATTGGGAGTTGTAGTTTGGATGTAATTACAAAAACCAAGCTTTTAAATTTGGTTCTGAGTCTACATCATGGAATCTAAAAAGTATTTTTAAGGGAGCATAGCAAATAATACATGATACTCCGGCTAGGAGGGATGACTATAGCAGTGTTACTGGGTCAAATCAGAATCCATTAAGTTTCTATTCAACAAGATGGATGATCAAATTGTCGTAGATCATTTAATTGAAATATGAGACAACATTGTAAAATTAATTAGATTTTGGGAAAAATTATTAAAGTGTAAACTGCCTTCTTCAAAAACGTTTTTTTAATGTTCAAAAGGCATGACTTTCTGATAGTTTCAAAATTACAATTTTTCATTTATTTTGCCAGCTTGTTCAAAATCTACTTGATACTCTATCAGACTGATGATTCCATACATGTACAATGATCTTAGAGAATTGATAACAAATATTTTAGCTCTATTTATTAAACCAAAACTGCAAAAAAGATAGTGAATTAAAAAAAAAAGATCTCTATAAAAAAGAGAATTTGTTACCCAGGTAAAATGTTATTATTGGTTTTGCTGTAGAATTTTCAATTAAAGAACTTTTTATTAAAGACAATATCACTCTTAATGATATAAAACAGTTTTAAAATATATGTGTTTTATTTCTCTCAAAAACCATGGAAAGTTTTCTTAAACGCATCCCGCTAGACTCTGCAATTATAGCAAATGCATGTTGTTTTAAACCAATCGAAATCAAAACATTAACGATTGAATCTAATCAAAATAAACTAAAGAGGTTTTTACATTGTTAAATAACATTATCTTGTTAGTTTAAAAATTATATCTGCAACACAAAGAGGTAATATCATGCTTCAGTTTCAATACTTTTAAATGGCATGAAAATAAATATAGAAAAATCTCTTAGTTTTGATTAAAAAAACCCACGTGTTTAGATATCTTCTATTTTCATCAACTGGATATAGTCAAATATAAGAAACTTACTTATATTATCAAAATGATTTTAATGATTTGTGATGGTCAAGCTTTTGTAGAAAGAGGTTCACTGTTCTCCAAATTGACCGCCAAGTTGAAACTCTCCCCCACTTTTAATTTTTTTGCATTTAATCAATCAAATGCATTGTAAACACAATTTAAGTTGTCATAAAATCTGACTGCTAAGTATGTGTATTTTCAAAATTAAAACTTTTAATTTTTTCCTCTTTTTTATTTGTAAGTTAAATTAAAGTGAGACATAATGGTAGTCAAAATTGGCTATTTACGGCTTCTTTCCAGATATAATTATCACTTTGCAACACGGCCTCAGATTTCAAACTATATACTTGTGAAGTTTGCTAGATAAAGTATCAGATCAAAATCTTCAACATCTATAACACCTTTGGTATGTGAAAAAATTCAAGAATACATCTAACCATTTGTTGATTCTGATCTTGAAGTTTGTCCTTCAGTAGTTTGTTTCAATTGCAGAAGAAACTTATTTAGTCTAAACAAAGGGGCTGAATATCTTTCCTACTGGTTAGAGACTGTATCAGAGGTTCTTTAATATGAATGAATTGCCAATTAATTACCAATACACAGGCCTCGGCGGTAAAAAATGAGTGTGAGAGCAGCAAAAAATGAATTTGGCCAACTATGCAAGCTGCTCCTCTAAACAACCTTTTAGGAGAGCTTTTGGTTTTTGTGAGAGCAATCTGTTTATTCATTAATTGCTTATTAATAACAAAATTTTGGTTTTATAATTGTTACAAACCTATGGCGCAACAAATGGCTTTTTTATTGAGTGTTGACGTTCGTATCTTTATTTAACAATGAATGTCTAATTTAAGAGATATATGTTATATAAGGAAGTTTTCTTTTCAAATAATTTTTATTCTAGTTAATAAGTTGTTAGTTATATCAATTATGCTTATTGAATTTAATTCATTTTTATTTCTTCAAAACAATTTTTTATGCATTAGCAAAGTGCTTGCAAATTAATGATAAATAATATTCAATGACCTAAGATTGTAAATTGTTATCCATTGATACTAAATGATGAATATTCCTCAATTTAGTTTGCTAAGTTTATTGCCAAATAAAAAAAATGTACAAACTTGAAGAAATTGAAATAAAAGAAGCTAAAAATAAAATAAAAGTTGTTTTGACATTTTTTTTTAACTTTTTAAAAATAATATCATGCTAAGTATTTAATAATTATTAAATATTTAATTTCATATTAATTATTTAATAAGTTAATAAAAATATTGTATTTTATTAGTGTTGTTAAATGAACAATAAAAAATATTGAGTATAGTAAACATGTTAATTCTATATCAGGCCTTGTTTTAAAGCGTTACGCCTAGAGCGATTTACGTACGCCTTAAGTGATTTTTATGTACGCGTAGAGCTGTTTTGGTTAAGCTACTTTTTATCATTTTTTAACTTTTAAATTAGCGGTAACATAAAAGAAGTAATTAATTTTAAAAAAACCACATTAACTTTTAAATAACGATATGTAAAGATATTTATTAAAAAAAAGAATTTACTTTAAAAATAATTGTTGTAACTTTTCATAGCGATATATCTTTCCTTTTTATAGCAATTAATTTGACGCTAAACTTTTTATCCAAATATTTAGCAACATGAAAAATTGTTTGTCAATCCTTAACTACAAATTTTTTGCAATGTTTTTAATAAAAAGTAGTAATTTTTTAAAGTTTTCAGTAAAAAACTTTTAAAAAATCTATATTCCATA